CGATATATATTTTTCGAATGACGCTAATTTCGTTTGTAAAAAAATACATTCTGAAATAAAGCACTGGCTTTTTTTGGACACTGATTTTTGGACACTGGTCCCTGCCGCTCGACCCAAGCAAAATGAACCGTATTGGTACGGGAAGAAACTTATTTCGAGCCGAGGTAGTATAGACTCCTAAAAGAATTCCAAAAGAACTCTAAATTCGAATTAGCAACGACGGGTATCATGGCGCGAAACAGTTACCTATAAATTGGGAGCTTTGTTACTAACCGCTGTGTGTCTTTACGGACGCTTGTTATGCCCGACCGTGATGAAATGACGGGATCAAGAAACATTTAATCTTTAACACTATCAAAAAACACTTCGCCCCCTTTAGTACGAATGGTCGTAACTTATTATTTAAGAAGGTGGTCGTCTTAGAGAATGTGAAAAATTGCGAAGTCAAAGACGTTTTTAAGCCGTGTAACGGACTTTAAAACATTTATTCAATGTTTATCCTTATTCTAGCTCTTATCGTAGGTCGGTAGATTTTATTCTCCTTTGATTTGATTCTTTTTATTAACCGACTTGAAAAAAAGAGGAGGTTTTCAATTCGACTGTATTATTTTTTGTGTGTATTGTCTGATTTGGCTTGTCATTTGCAGTGCCCCTCAGATCTTCGCGATTTAAAGCTCTGAGTGGCAACTGTTATGGACAAGCGTGTTGCTTACCACCAGTTCGTCGCGTCACGTGATATTATATACCTCGAGTCACTGAAGCCCTCAGCCTTGGGTTTCGGGCTTCTAATAGACTCTCGTTAGTCATTTCCTATTTACAACCCTTCATACACAATGTACTAATGTATAACTAGGAACAGAAAGGGTTCAGAAAACGACATAATACATGATTCAATATAAATTTTTAAATCACCGCTCAGTACTTATTGAATCTTTTATGAGAATGAAATAATTTAACGTATTGTAAAATTAAACTTGATATTATATATTTTTATTTCTGTCTTTAGCTGCAAGTAAATAGACATTTTAGGCATGTTGTACCTAAGCGATTAATACCAATAAGCCTAATACGATTTAGGTTCCAGAAATCGTCGTAAGAAATACCAATCTTTTGTTCTCACATAAAAATGGTTAGCCTCAACGTTAACTTGTTATTTCAAATGTTTTGACTTCTGGTCGCACCTTTTCCGCGTGTGTTTAAATGTGTCCCAATCTCATCTGATGTTAAACGACGCGTTTGTCTAAAAAATGTCCATTTATTCTAGCCTTTAATAGCCTCAAATTGCAGTTTACCGGAACTACAGATCTTATAACATAGAAAAACTACAGGTAGAGTAGTCCATTTCTTTGCTGTTCGCATTAGGAAGGAGGAAGCAAAGCGCTTCGAATGGCTCTAAAGGTAGGTTTAAAATTATCTTAATAATATTATAGCAATTTTATTCAATGTGAAAAATAAAATTGCATGCACTTAGCTACTTTGAGTCACGTAATCTAATGTCTCTTAAAAATTACCATCTTTTATTTGCGCCTTTCACCCATTTCTAGTTTCCCATAAAACAAACTTCATCATAGAACATAATACAACGCTCACAAACAATGCCTGCGCACACACAGGCCAGCGAGCCAATCAACGTCGAGTTAAAAGTTCTTTGAACCCGCGCTACTTCGCAATTGGTTGAAAAGGGCGCCAAGTTCAAAAACTGGTTTGAAAACGAACGCACGTGCACGATAGTAAACTTTGATAGTAAATTGTAGATGTGTGCGTGCTTTTCAAATGTTTACATACTTCGTAAAGGCTTTTTATGCTGATGTATGAGTATGTTGGGTAAACGGTATAGAAAGAAAGTTGTTTGCTTCGTAACGAGGCCCCTTGATTTTGGGTGTCTATTGTAGAGTTTAGAAGATGATTTGGTGTTCGCTTTGACAATAGATATCTAATACTTATTACATGCCTTGAGTATATTGAATACAAAGCAGCCTATGTGCAGTAAATAAATGTGAATCGTAATTTTTACATTAAACAATTTGATTATAACGACGATACGAACTGCGTTATTACTAAACGGCCAATAGATTGTTTAGAAATGAACGTTTATAGTCTCTACCAAGAAAATAACAGCTTCGTTAACGCCATAGCGCAGCATGTAGCTTTATAGCACTGGATCCAAATCTCAAGAGACCAGACCAGTTTGGCCGGTCTTTACCTAGGTTCCCTTCGCCCCTATCACCCCCCTGTATAATAAAGGAGCTATTTCTAGCTAGCTATAATTGTTGCTATGTAGCGCGTAACATTTTCAGAATACGTTGCAATGTGTTGATTGACATCATTAAGTTTTGCAAGTGAAAATATTTTTTCGGATCATTTCTCGTATACAAACTAACCAACAGATCTAATGGTTACATCTAATACTAATGCAAACTACCCCAATTCAATAATATTATACCACTTATTTGGCTTTAAGGTCCACTGACAAACCAAATAGTGCAGTAGAGCTCGTTGTGTAAGAGTTCGTCCAGGGAAGTACTGCCACCTTCTGCTGCCAAGCAGTAATGTAAGCATTACTGACATTGACTTACAATTATGTGGACGTCGGGTCCGCGCTAAAAAGTGTCCGAACTTATAGGGCGTTAAAATCGTATACAGAGCGTCATTCACGCTTTAGTCTTCGTTTGTTCGACTGACAGCGAAGCAAGCAAAATTAGACAGTACTGCGATGACATTACAATTTCAATTCATCGATTTAGCTTTTTCATATTCCTTTACATGTCACTACGTTTAAATAGGTTGACTTGGGACATTTTTTTCGTGGTTTTTGTATTAGACCCGTCGTTCATTTATTTGTAAGTCAATGATTACTGAGTTTCAGTTTTAAAGGGTAAGGGTGCTGGTGATTATAGGCCTATGGGACTTGTCAACTTATGTCTCAGGGTGACGGACGCAGTGGCAGTGCCCATAAGATCTTTGCGTAGCAAGAAAATATCTTTTTTTACTTCTTAAACTAAACATGGGCATGTTTTTTTTGTATAAGTTCCATTTATAAAAGTAAATAGATCACCGAGTGTTTTGTTTACTTTCAAACATGGAACTTAATAATATACGTAAAAAAGGATAAAAACTGAAAAACCAAATTATACATTTTGTGGTTTTCAACACTTGGGGATATATAAAAACAAAGTAGTAGGACACATGGGACTTATCAATTTAAAGCTCTAAGTACTGCATCTATTATAGACAGGCGTGTCGCTTAACATCAGGCTCGACTTTTTCGTTCCGCCACAGCCTCAAGATAGTCTAGATAGATACTCGTAGATAGTCACCCTGAGTGGATCTTTTTACGTACCCCCAGTCGCGTGCATGACAGTATTTCAAATTGTGTGATTCTTTATTTTATATGTACGCTTCGTAGTGTTTTCATTTATATTTCTTTCTTTCTTTTTGTTTATTTTTAACCGACTTCAAAATAATAAGGAGGTTCTCCATTCGATTGTCTTTTTTTTGTGTTGTACCGTCGCAATCAACGCCTTCTATTTTATTATGTCAAGTTAGATCCGAGACAATAGTTTTATTTTCAATGTGTAACAATCAAGAAACCTTATGAGTTCATTATCTTTAAGTTTTATTTTGTTCATAAGCATGAACTGATGAAGGATAAGGGTACTGGTGAAATTACAGGCACATGGGACTTGTCAACTTGTGTCTCAGGGTGACGGGCGCAGTGGCAGTGTCCATGAGATCTTTGCGATTTAAAGCTCTGAGGATACTGCAACTGTTATGGACAGGCGTGTAGCTTACCATCAGGCGCACGACTTGTTCGTCCCGTCACTTGATATAATAAAAAAAAACTTGATAATAACATATTGAAAGTAATGCACTTTAACAAATCAAACTCTTGGTTTCATAGTCGGCAATTTAAACGCTGTGGTAGTTATTTGAGTTAATTTTAATCATAATAATTGTAAAATATTTCTATCTGGTTACATCCAGATTTCATACTTTTATGGCAATATAATAATTATTTGAATAGCGTCAAAATATAAACTAATATAAATAATATATTTAATAGTATACTGCCTCATAACTTAATGTAACAAAAAATAACATTGTACTTACGTACGTCGTCTCCAACAAAGACAGCAAAATGGCCTTTACTGACCCTAGTCGTGACCTTTATGGAACAATAGAGATCTCTTGTACTACCTTTGAAGCCCCAGAACCAAGCTTTCGACATGTCAAATTTAAATTACCAACTTATGAAAGCTGGCCGAGAAATTTATTGCCAATGTCTTGCATTCGATAATCACGACAATATCAAATGCTTGTTCAAAATTGTTTTTAAGCTTGAAAAAGGCTTTTGTTAGTCAAGAATTTGGGACTTTATTTAAGTTTTGTAGTTTTCAATATAGTCAATGGAATTAACTTGTCGTTGTATTCGATATTGAGATAAAGAGAATTAAAATTTATTAAGCTGTATGGCAAAGTTGTTTTGACTAATCCTTTAACACAACGGTTTCCTTTGAAAGATATTATAAAAACCAATAACTACACATACGAAGAAGTCATATCGTAGTAAGAAACCTGTGCTTTTTCGTAATAATTTAGTATCTATGTTGGTAATAGTGTCTTGAAGATGGTTGCCTCTAGATTTAATTGTCCTATCCAGACACATTGGATGGAAGCTAGTCATTGGAATTGTATATTATTAAAATGTATAATTTAATTTTATTCTGTACCTAATATAGTTTAATGTGTAAAATTTCATACTGCAATACTTTAAACGTAATTTAATATACTTATATTAAAATTATGAATATTTTCAAAACTCTCCTCTGCAAAATTAATTTTTTGTCGTTTACACTAAGATAGCGGTAATACTGTCACTTCTTTTTCTTATAATAATACCCAGAACTTCACGGTGCACTACAATGTAGTAAGTAACACTCACCTATACATCTGCCTTGGTCTAATTAGTGTAACTATTATAGGAACGTATAAGAACTTACCTTAAGGGCGCAAAAAATACACGAAGGTCCGAGACAGGCGTGCCCGGTGAGCTCGCGGAAGCTGCGTCGGAATATGTCCAGATGCCACAGCACCTGCAGACAAAAATAGATGAAAATATTAGTCAAGATACGGGGATATATGGCTGATCTTTTGAAAACTGTATAATTGGGACATGTAGTCTTAAAATTAAGTTGATAATATCTTTAAAATTGAAATTAAAGGGACCTTGATAAGTTTTTCTCATTAACTGGTGCCCGCAATTTCGTCTTTTTTTATAATATAGGGACGAACAAGTCGTGCACCTGATGGTAAGCTATACGCCTGTCAATAACAGTTGCAGTGCCACTCTGCACCTTTAAATCCCTAAGATATGAAGGGCTGCCACTTCGCCCGTAGCCCTGAGTCATAAGTTGACAAGTCCCATGTGCCTGTAATTTCACCAGCACCCTTACACTTCCGTAATCAGAAATAGGCGAGGTGGCAGTACTGGACGAACTCATTCACAAAGAGCGCTACTGTACTATAGATACTAATTTTCATACTTTTATTGGTTCTGAATAAAAACTTTCATAGGAATGAAACTTTCATCCCATTTTTCATACCTTCTAAAATTTATTTTTGTGACAATAAGTACCTTATGTCCTTCTCCTACGTCCCATCTATCTCTGTACAAATATTTGTCAATTGGTTTAGCGGTTCAGGCATAAACGTAACAGATAGAGTTAGAGCGTATACGCACTAGGTCCGATTCGGAATCCGAGAAATGTCACAGGTGTCCGAAGTGTCATTTTGTCTCTACGTGTACAAGCTATATTCGTAATTTCTCGGATTAGAATCGGATTTAGTGTACAAGCGACATCCGCAGTGGGTCCGCGTTTTCTAGACTTGAGTGGTCTTGGATTCGGAACGAATACGGATGGAATGCCGTGCGCAGACGCACTTACTTTCGCATTTATAATATAAGTGTGCGTTATCAAGCCTAAAACGACGTTTACCACATAATTAACTGAATAATTGTCAATAGGTACTTCAAAAAGTAATATCGAGGAGTTCGAGGCAAAACTCTATAAGTGTGTGAATTTTCGTAAGTAATTATCATATTATACTTTCAAGCACTTAATATACAGAGTTTGTTAAATCGTTTGTGTTACACTAATGAGTCTATTAATTGGATTTTATTGTAGAAAAGAGCGTGAAAAGTACACTACACTCAGTGTTACGAAAATTCACATATTCGGTTTTACCTCGAACTACTCGTGACGCTTTTTTATGGACATGGCAGAGTATCAGCGAGGGCTACGCAATTAGCATAGTTCTCAGATGCTGAGTCGAGATCTTTTTGATACGCTTTTCGTTGCCAGTTTCTTTTCATCTTCTTTGTTTTCTACTATTGTTGTTTTTTTTTTTGGGTATTTATGAAGAATTTATGTAATTTTCTATAATTGTTTCCAATTTATCTTGTTTAATTCACCTGTAGACAACACGTCTTTATTAAAATTCAAATTAATTGTTCAATTGTAATATTGTACTTTATAAACAAAGTTTTTAAATTAGCATCACTAGAATTTGCAAAACAAATTATTAAAAAGCACCTGCTATGAAAATTAATGTGAACCATAACCAATCAATGGAAATTTCAAGCTAATAAGAAATTATTAAAAAATCCTAATTACCGACCGCTTGTGTGCTATGAAAATAGACAAGTTAAACGCATGCGCAGTGCAGGTGCACGATGTACGATATTTCACAGTTGCCTTAAAGGCTTGTGGTTTAAGTCATTAATTTACCGTCACTATTTTTGTACTTGCATTTAATAGCAAATGTAAATTTACACATGTCCTATGTTTTTCGATGCAGCATAAAAATAGATTAACTGTTAAGTTAAGAAGTTTGCAGATGGTGTTGTGTTTATAAAAAATATTGTTAAAAGCGAAAAAGATAAGTGGGTGCAAGGTGGTTTGGAAAGTCAGAGTGCTTCGCAAAAGAAAAAAAATGGAATAAAATAGGACAGTACAGATGTACATTATTCTTCAGACAATCTATGATAAACATAATATTACAGACGGCCATTGGATAGGCGGCGGTAGATTCGATAGCAAATAACTGAACAAAGGATATTTGTAAAAGTATCTAACTATCAATGTAACGGGCGACGCCATATCTATGATCGAATAAAATCTTATAGTATCTCGAAAAATTAAAAAAAATACTTTTTTTACATATCGCACTGTTAATACAATAGTGTATTAACTCAAAAAGTGTATTTTTTCAGAATCGATGAAAAACGAATACTTACTTCACGTGAAAGATCATTAAAATTTATGTATAGGGTAAAGTTTATTACTGACATCTAAACAATTTCCTACTGGCCGAATTATTTAAAAATAAAAGGAAATAAATAATTTCATATTTTTGAACAAGGACTGTATGTTTTGGCCAGAATTAGCTTACATAAAGTTTGTCTAATTTTGAGTTAAGTAGATATCTTTTAATAGTTTCTTACAATATTCTATCGACGGTTTTATTGACGTGTACAGAATTAAATTTTGGTTTCAGCAATGATTTAACCCTGAAATTAACATATTTAGAGTTACAACACTATTGTAATATTAGTGCGATATTTGGAATCAGAAAAAAATTCCGCATTCTTTGGTCTAGGAGTCTTGATGCTACGACGATATCTTTTTTATTATCATCATCATCAACCCATTTATACGTCACACTGCTTGACACAGGTTTCCTATCACGCGAGGGTTTAGGCAATAGTCCGCCACGTTGACCCAATGCGGGTTGGGGACTTCACACGTCTTCCGAGGGATGTGAATCTTCTTCAACGTGCAGGTTTCATCCCAATGTTTTCCTTCACCGAAAAGCTCATGATAAAGTTCAAATTAAATTTCGTACAAAAACATTGAAATACTTTGCCTCTGAAAGTGGTAAGTAAGGCTACCACTATTTTTTTTTTATTACACGATACGCCGATTTATTACGAAACACTAACACAAATCTATAAATAGAAGTTAACAAGTTCTATTTTTCGAGATACGTCAAGATTTCCGGTATGGTCGGTCTAGAAACTCTGGAACCGAGACGGGTATTAAAGACGCATACTCCCTATTGCCTACTTTTGCGCCACAAAGTGGATAATCCATCTGTCTTGGAAAAGCTTGATATATTTGTGCCGGATCGGTATGTAAGCAGGGCTGGGCAGTATTTGAATTACTTGTATTTGAAATACGTATTTAAAATACAAATACGTATTTTGTATTTGTATTTCAATTACTCCCTAAAAATGTATTTTGTAATTGGTATTTCAAATACCTGACCGTAATGTATTTTGTAATTTGTATTTCAAATACTTTCGTTGCAAAATACATTTCAACAAAATACTTTTTTCTTTTCAATGTACAGCCTATTTTGTGACGTGCATAGATTTATATCAGTGTTGGGCATTGATAATGATAATATATTTATTGCAGTTTACATAATATAAAATAATACAAATTTTACACTGTATTACGTATACATGTAATATACTGTAAGGGCATAGCAATATAAAAACTTATAATATGGTTTAATTACATTTCAAGCCTTAGCAATAATTATTATTACAAAATTTCTTATTATATTTCTTATCATATATATAAACATATTATTAATTGTACAATTATGTGTTATACTAGTTTTAATTCGACCATAATAACATTGCATTTACTCCATTATATAACATGTTATCTACTTCATTTTATTTATTTATTCACATTAACTGCCTCCGTGGCCGAACGGTTACCATGCCGGACTGCCTCGCAGAGGTCCCAGGTTCGATTCCTGAGCCGGGAGAAATATTTGTATGGCCTGTAATTATTTCTCTCGTGAGTTTGGGTGTAATTTGTGGTTGTCTATGTGTGTGTCCATGGCACCCGCGACACAGGGTTTCCCTAGTGCGGGGCTATGTTGAGTGTGTGCGTTATATTATTATTACATAGGTACAATGAAAGACATATGAATCCTGTAATATGGATATGATAATAATGGACAGCAAAACAGGAATGAGGCAGATCAACGCTATAGCAATTTATCATCAAGATATTGTTGCACTGTATAGTAAGTTTTATTAGAAAGAATGTTTTTTAAGTTATTTATGAAAATACTTGTTTTATTTTCTTGCTTTATATGCTCCGGTAGTTTGTTGTATATTTTTATCGACATTGAATATGGGCTCGATCTATGCATTTCCAATTTTGAGAACGGTGTTACAAGATTATTTCCGTATCTTGTGGGATGGTGTCTTGGTTCGTCTCGCAGTTTAGTGTAAAATTGTGGGTACTTTTTTATAAATTTGCAAACTTCCAAAATGTAAATTGATGTTAGGGTTAAGATTTGTATTTTGTATTTTCTAAAGAATGGTTCACAGCTCTCTTGTTCTTGATATATTTGCTAGTATTCTTACGCAGTTTTTTTGTTTAATAAAGAGGTCATTTACAGTTGTACTATTGCCCCACAATATGATGCCGTATGATAACCATGCATAAGCGTACGCATAGTAAGCACTTAGGGCAATTTGTAAATTTGTTGACTTCTTTATTTCTTTTAAGGCGTAAGTAAAACTAGATAGCTTTTTTGTGATTTTTTGTACATGCTGCTTCCAATTTATATTTGTATCGATATCTATTCCGAGTAAATTAAATGTATTGACGGTTTCTATTTGTATTTGGTTATACGAAAAATTAATATTTAGTGATGGTTTTTGATAGGGTCTAAATTCTATAATTTTGGTTTTTGTGAAGTTAATTTCTAAATTGTGATCATTCATCCATGTTACAATTATAGTTAGTGTATTATGAAGGGTTTGATTTAAGTGGTCACTATTTTTACAAGAGGTTAATATTGAGATGTCGTCAGCGAAAAGAACACATGAATCGTTTATTACTTTTGGGAGGTCATTTATATAAGCCAGGAATAGTATGCACCCAATGACGCTTCCTTGTGGTATCGAATTGTTCATGTTTTGGGGCTCAGATCTGACTTGAGTTATTTCCCCTGTCTCATAGTTATAATGCTCGATTTCTACATACTGGATTATGTTTTCTAA